AGCAAAAAATGGTGCAATAGAAACAAGCATCGATGGTGGCGGCGACGGCCGACAGCGCGCACAGCGCACGCTTTAATCCCAGCATTTGGAAAGCAGGGACAGGTGAATCTTCGTGCGTTTGAGGCCAGCCTGGTCTACAAGAATGGGTGACAGGACAGCCAGGACTACACAGAGAAATGCTGTCTTGAAAAACCAAAACAAACAGAAAACATACACACAAACAAACAGAACAAAACAAAACAAAACAGCAAGGCTCTAAGAGCTGGCTGTGAGCTGCTGTATGGGGACCACAGGTGACCCGCCTGTTGACATTGTTGCAGATCCTGGAACAACCTGTACTGTGTGCTCAGGAATAGCCAGCTGACCTTCTACAAGGATGCCAAGAACCTGGCCCTTGGGATGCCCTACCATGGAGAGGAGCCCCTGGCCCTGAGGCATGCCATCTGTGAGATCGCTGCCAACTATAAGAAGAAGAAGCATGTATTTAAGCTGAGGTGAGCTCTGCTGCCCAGCGCCTCTGCCCTGAGCCCCGTGCCTTTTTGAACATTTACGCTGATGGCTCCATTGAGCATTGACGACCAGGTAGAGATGCATTGAAGGTCAGCTCCAAGCTGGAGCTGTTCCTTGGGTTCTTTTTAAAAGATGGATGGGTCTCATAGACTTTTAGCTTTCTTGGCTGGCCTGCTGTCCTAGAGGGACATGGGTATTGGGCTGTAGGACACCGCCTAGCTTCTCCAGGTAAAGCCTTCCGGAGATGGTACCATGACACAAAGCCCTTTGTCTTCCTAGACTAAGCAATGGCAGTGAGTGGCTCTTCCATGGCAAGGATGAGGTAAGGGCAGGTGGCTCCCTCAGATGGGGCTAATGGTGGGGTGGGTGGAAAGCTGACACTTGCCCTCAGGGCTCCCCCGGAAGGGAGCAGTCACAGAAGCGCACCGCATGACACCCCCCTCCCCCCCCCCGCCCAGGTCCCTGACTCCTTGACATTTCCACCCTTCAGGAGGAGATGCTACTGTGGCTACAGAGCATGAGCACGGCCATCAACGAGTCCCAGAGCATCCGTGTCAAGGCACAGAGCCTGCCCCTGCCTTCCCTGGCTGGTCCCGATGCCAGCCTCGGCAAGAAGGAGAAGGAGAAGAGGTTTAGCTTCTTCCCCAAAAAGAAGTAGTAGCTGGAGGGAGGGCCCCATGGGTGAGGCAGGCCAGGCAGCGCTGCAGTGTGCGTCGGGATGCTCGAGGACCAGGAGTCCGTGGCCTGGACCTCTGCAGCTGCCAGTCCTCCTCCTGCCTGCCACTCACTGCCTGCAGCCCGCCTGCCCGAGTTGCGGGGCCAGCCCCAGGGCCCCACACTGCATAATAGCCGCCTTGCCTGCCTGGCCTTCCCGATGCCTGCCAACTGTCCCTCCACCTCCCCTATCCCACGCAGCTGGCTGGGCTCCAGGGACTGGAGGTACATCTCCTTGGGGGGAGGGGAGGGCTGGAAACGGTTCTCTAAGGCATACACTCTCTTCTTCCTGCCCACAGCAAACTGGGAAGCCTGATGGGGTTCCTCCAGCACTGCCCACTACCACAGCAAATCCCCTTTTGGAGGGGGGGTCACTGACTACAGTCAGCCAGGGAAAGAAAAATGACAACATCGACAATAGCTGCCCTGCCCCTCGGGGGTTAGGAGGAAGGGCCTTCAGAGCCCCAGCTCTGGGCATGGGGCTGGTGGAGTACCAAGGGCACAATTAGGGATGTCAAGCATTCAGTACTGCCAGTCTCCTGCCCGCTAGGCTCCCTCAGAAATAGGACTTTCTCCTCAGGGCTAGTGTGCCCCTTCTTTTCTCCCCCCTCTCATACCCCTAAGAGTTTTGGTGAGTCCTGAGTGAATGAGCCTCTTCCTCCCTTTGCTCCTCCTGGCATCAGCCTTGTATTAGGACCAGAAGCCTTCACACCACTCTTTCGGAAACTCTGGCTAGAGCTGAGGGTCCAGGCCTCTGTCGCAGGACGGACAGACAAGTCCCAACACTGCTTCAGGCTCTGCCTCTATAGTGCGGCCCTTTCCCCCCCTTCCCTCCCACCAGTTGCTGTCAGACCAGCAATACGTGGCCGGGGCTCATGTCAGATACAAGCTGAACGCCCAGGTCCTGCAGTAAAGTATCTCAAAGCTAAACACCCACTGTGCCCCGCCACCGCCATGACCCCTGCAACTGGCATCATCCAGGCCAGTGGCCGGACACAGGGCTCTGTCGTTACCTAGGGGTGACAAACGCAGGCACACGACATAACTACCCCCGAAACATAGGGATGGATGAATGTTGGGGCCACCATCATAAAGGTGTGACCCTCTTGATTAGTTTCTGCAGGCCTTATCTTAGATTTGGGGCCGGCAGGGGGGGGGGGGTCACATAGAGATCACCAGACATCTACTGCTCCTCTCCAAGCATCAGAAGGAGCTCTGCAGCCTGACCCTGGGGAGTGCTTTCCCATACCTATGGAAGAACAGGACCATCGTCCCGCAGGCTTTCCCTGCTATGCAACTCAAAGCACCGCACGCAGCTCCAGCCCAACAAGAGACAGTCGAGTTGAGGGCAGGCCTTTTCATCTAGGAGGGCCCACAGCCAGTTTCTACTGCCTTCCCCATGGGCAAGGCTCAGCGGTAGGCATACAGTTACTAGGCCTTCCCAGAATCCCTCATTGCTGGCCAGGCAGGTAAAGCTCAGAGACGAGCTGCACTCTGTGACACCCCCCCCCCCCCCAGTATGATGTAACCACGGAAGGGAAGGCTAAGGCCCAGTGGGGCCAGTCTGTGCTGGGCCTCAGTGTATAGGACCCTATAGCTCCCTCCTTCTACAGGGAACGGTAGTCAGCGCCACTCACCAGCCTCTTTGTACAGCTGGAGAAACCAAAGCAGTAGGCAGGGAGGCATCTGTATCCCTGACAATAAAAAAAAAAAAAACAACAAAAAACAAAACAAAACAAAAAGCCTTGGTGCACACTGAAAGGCATGTCTATCTCCGGGCTCCTTGCTGAAGCATTAGGTACTGAGCAGCTCCTTCAGGCAGTTTCCCTGGCCTAGTCTCTGGGGGACCAAGGGATGAGGGTCTACAGCTCCCCTCTAACATGTACCCAAGTAGTACCTGAAGTGAGGACTTTCCAGTAACTTCACAGAGCCCAGAAAGAAAGGCTCCAATGGAAGAGCTAGAATTTCACCCCTCAAAGAATTACACAGGGGTAGTGAGCTGCACGGGACCTGCCACCACAGCCGGCTCCCCACACTCCTCACCCACGTCACCCAGGCCCCGAGGCACTCAGCCCTGCTGGACTGACCGACTGCACACGGCCAACTTGGCGGGAACCCTGTGCACCCCAGAGCCAGGCTCTCGTGGTGCCCTGGCAAGGCTGGTATTTTTCTCCTGGCGTTTTCTACTTGGCAGTCTTTCTTGACAGTCTTCCCAAACTGGGTTAACACAGCTCCAGTCCACACCAGCATTAACAGGTCTCCTCCCTCCCCAAGGCAGCTGGAGGAAGCTCTCTGGGCAAAGCCAGGCAGTTTGCCTTCCCTCCCTGTGGCCTTTGTCCTGGGCCTCAGCAGACAGGCTGAGGGGGAACAGAGAGGGTCTGTGTAGGCGAGGCTCCCTCCCACCCCATCTTCTCCTTCCTGCCTGTTGGAGGCCAAAAGGTTCCCTAAGGCTGATCCTGGATCCCCTTCCTCCCTCAGCAAGAGGAGGCAGAGATTCCGAGGAGGAAGAGGTCCTTGGCCCAGCTAGCTCAGGGAGGACACAAGAGAAGGTGGCTGTTGGGGAACGCAACCCTGTTGGGCACAGATCACACATCTGGGGCTGGTCCTGGGGCTGGCTGGGGCTTGTCCTCCACCTGCTCAAATGTGCTTCCACCAGAGGAATCCCATTTACTAGGTCTTTTTCTAATAAATCAATAATACTCCGTACTTGTTTCTGTTTACTTGACTAGCCTCTTGTTCCTTTGAACCGGACATCAGATGGCAGGCACCATGGAAACAGGGGGACAGCTAGGGTTTAGTTTAGTTTGTTCCTGAGAGTATTATGGGATGACTGCTGGAGTCCAGGCCCTAGGCCCCATCTGAGACCCTGGGGAAGCTTGCTCATTCATGAGTTCAAAAGTGACCCGTAGGCAGTCACTCTTCGGGCCGTTAACTAGAGACAGGAGCCTGATCTCCGATCTGAACTGGGATCCATTTTCAGGGAGCAGTTTTGTTTGGCCTGGGTGGGACACTGGACTGCTGGGTTTCAGAGGCTCTTCAGATAATTCCAACAGGAGCCAGTGAGCGCAACTGTCCCTCTCCAGGCAGGCACATTTACGTGAAGAGTTGAGGATCACCCGAAAGACATTAGCTGGATGCCATCTGAGTTTGAGAAGCGGTGACTCATCCAGTCTTCAGTGGAAAGTATAGAGCTGGGTGGCCCAGCTGGCTGGCAGCAAGGCTGGGACAAGACTTTGAGTCACCGATCCCATGCTTTTATGGCCACTACCAGGTGCCATATCCTGGGACTGGCCTGCTCAGAACCAGTAGCTGTCTTTTCAGTGACTATGGCAGTGGCTGCAGAGGACTCTGAGCAACAACAGGGCATGGGCTGCTGCGGTCCTGTTCCGCTCCTGCCCAGGGGGGCACCACCCACCTGATATGGGGGTGGGGCCTGAGGGACTCATGTTCAGATTCAATCTGTCCTCCCTGGAAGACCCCCAGGTCTTAACCCCTGCAGACCTGCAGGCAAGCGTGAGACACTGACCCCTCTGTAGCCAGGCCTCTACAGTTCCCTCCTTCCTGGCCCCAGATAGAACAAAGCAGGTCTGAGCCCACTTAGAAATGGGGCATTCCCAGCCCTTTGCAACCAGACGCTTCTGTGGAAACGGGGTCCATTGCAAAAAAGTGTATTCCCACCACACTGCAAACCACTGTAGGACATAGCTAAGGCTTGGCTTAGTTCTCCTGGGAGCTGCAGAGGGGGAGTTAAAGAAAAGGCATCAGACACAATTCTCGCTTATCTCACGTGTTCTATTTGCCCCTGGAAGTTCCAGCTTTTTAGAACACCTTTATTTTTATTTTTTGAGACAGTTTCTTTGTGTAGCCCTGGCTGTCCCAGACAACCTTGAAACTCACAGAGATCCACCTGCCTCTGCCTCCCTAGCCCTGGGGTTAAAGGCCTGTGTCCCACCACCACCCGGCTTTTGGGACAACTTTTGGGCTTTGGGAAAAGAGCTAAAGGCTCACATGGGATTCCCACCTGAGACAGGACACTAAGAGCAGTGCACAGAGGCAGACATGGCAGAGACCAAGGTTCCAGCTCACACTGTGCCCCACCTGGCCTGTGAGTACCCTAATGTCTCCTGTTTCCTGTGCCTACACACTGAATGAGCATCCCATGTCCCTGACCCCTGATCCATCACTCCCCACAGCGGTCCCCAGGGAGAGGGCCACACACAGGTTGGTTGGTCAGCAACGGTTATTGCACTATTGGCAAATAATGAAATGTCTGTACATTAGCAACAACCAGCAAGACAGCCTTCAAGGGTACCTGAACTAAATCCGTTACATTCTTTCTGAGACTCTCTCTCTCACACACACACACACATACACACACACCACAGGATGGGAAGCAATAAATTATTGGCCTCAGTCCTGCCTGGGTCCGAAGACAAGGCAGTCAAAGGGCACAGCCTGCCCAGGCTCCTTCCTAGGTTTTCCCTTGGGAGCTCAGCCAGGCGCTGGCCAGCCAGTACGGGAAGCCAGGGCAGTGCTTGCTCTCCTTGGGCAGAGTAAGCTTAAATAAAATACTTGGCTTCTTATCAGAGCAGTATTTACAGACAAGGTAAGTGGCTCGCCTGGACCTAAGGAAAAGTCCTCACAGGACCTCCCAGGGAGGGGAGGTGCCAGCACAGGTAGCAGGTGAGTTCACACGTGTTCCCCAAACCACTCTTCCAGAAGAATGGAGGAACAGCCTTGGTGAGCCAGGCCTTCAGGAGAGCAGGCCAGGCCCTTTCCACCTCAGCACGGCTCCTTTCTGCTACGGGAGTCAGTCAACCCACAGAGTTCAAGGCCTGGAATTTCTCCCTCAGGTTTCTCACTCTACCCTGCTGGTTTGTGTCTGCCGGGTCCCTGGGACCTTCTTCCTTGGGCTGGTGCTCTACAGGCTCCTGGAAACCTTGGCCCTGTCCCTTCAAAGCCACTGATGAACTTGCTTCCTTCCCACTGCCCTCCTCCAGCCCCGAGGTGGAGCTAGGGTGAGGACCCTTCTCCATGACAATCACCCGCCGGTTGTTCTCCAGGGTGAGGTCCGCCGTGACCTGCAGGTCTGCGTCTCCATTCGGCCTGCTCTGGGGAGGAGCCTCAGGAGCTGCAGGCTGGGAGGCCTCCCCTTCTCCCTGGCCCCTCTTGTTCAGGCTGCAGCAGCGGCCCACCCTGCCAGACAGAGGAGGCTCTACTATGTTCTCAGGCAAGGAGCGGCTCCGGTTGACCGGCTGGCTGCGGGGCCAGCTGCTCTCGGCCTGGGCGGCCTTGTCGTGGGAGGTATACTTGGAGCAGAGCTCTCGGACATCAGGCCAGTTGAAGGTCTCAGTATCGAAGGGGCTGAGGGGGCTCCGAGCTGAGGGCCGAGACCCAGGCGAGGTGGTTCTTGGGCTGACAGCAGGAGGGCTGAAGGAGAACCGGCGAGGAGAGGTCTCCGCGGCAGAGGAAGATTTGGAGGTGCCCTGCTCCTGAGCCATCAGCTGCTCATAGCTGAGCAGGGGTGGCTTCCTCCTGGCTGGGGAGAGAGAGAACAAACTACATGAATCACTGTGAAGGGAGTTTCGAACCAGAAAGGGTGAGACGGGAACCGCCTTCAGCTGCATGCGGGGACTGGGGTATGATGGAAGAGAAACCCCGTTTTACCCTCTGCTCTCATCTTGGAATGAGCCCCTAGCCAGTTCTCCAAGCTCCCTCCGCTCAACTGGAAAAGCTGGGGGGGGGGGGGTGATGAGAGATGGGCAGACTGAGGATTTGATCAGGGCCCCTGAGTGCAAAACAGGTTGCCAAGGCTCGGTGTGTACCATGTGGTGCTTGCTTGGGCTCCGCCCCCCTCATGGCATGGCCTCCTTAGAGGTACTTGCCCCCCTCCCCCCAAAGCACTGGATCTCATTGGTTTTTCTACCCCGAGCCTCCTACCCCCTCATACCTTTGCCCCCTGACAGCTCTCCAGTTTCCTCAGGCAGGCCGGAGACGGTGGAAATCAGCTCATCCCGGTCAGGAGCTTTTTCCCACAGCAGAGGTGGCCTGGCTGCCTTGATGCTCTTAATTCGGAGGCTGTACTGGCGGGCCAGCTGGTAGACCTTGTTCTTGACACGCTCACTCACGTGGCTGTCCATCACGTGGGAGAGCTGCACAATTCGGGGATGCAGCGGGGTAACCAGCTCCCCCTGGACGCCGCTGCTCAGCTCTTTCACCAGCTCCTTCAGCTCCCGGGCCAGGTGAGCCGGGCTGGGCTGCTCAGTAGGGGAAGCGCTATCCGGAGAGGTGATGGCGGACTCCTCAGTGATGGCTCCCAGCTCATGCTCCTCCAAGATGAACAGCGGCTCTTGCTGCTCAAAGCCATTGGCCTGGCTCTGGCCAGTCCCCGTCCGCGGACTTCTCTCCAAAGACTCCATTCTCTCCCATATCTTCACAATTTCTGATGATGGGCGGAACTCCGCATCTGAGACAGGAGCTAGGTCCCCTGTGCCCGTCCGGCTGGGACCTGGGAGGTCAAACAAGGTCCATGATGCTGGCCGAGAGCTCCCCGGCCTCTTGGACCCAAGTGGAGCTGCTGGCTCCGGCTCCGGCTTAGGAAGGCTGTTGAACCTAGACACGGAGCTGCGCACCAGCCCTTTCGGGATATAAGAGAGACTCTCCCGCCGACGGACGCTGAAGCCTGCATCGTGGTGCTCGGCGTTTTCATAGTAGTTCTTAATTTTGTCCAGCAACTGCCGGTCTCGGGTGGACAACGCCGATTCCTTTTTCTTGCAGGAAGATCTGTCCGGTTCAATGGGGCAGCCTGAGCCTGCCTTTGGAGATTCTGTCCCATTGACAGAAGGGCCATTGTCCATGCCCGCTTCTGTACCAACGACGGCGACTTCTGGGGTGGGTGGGTTGCTGAGGGAGTCCCCAGCGCTGCCCCATCGGGCCAGGCCCTTCTCACTGCCCTCCAGGCTGAGCACGCTGCTGCTCCGGCTGATAAGCCGCGGAGTCCCAAGGCCACTGGACTTGCCCTCCTCCATTGCCAGGCTGCTCCTCCGAGAGAAGCTACTGGCAAACCGCTCAGCGATGACGCTGGCCTGGTCTAGCACAGAGGGCGGCAGGAGGCTCTCAGGTTCCTGGGCAGCTTCCATTTCCTCCTCTTCTTCCTCCTCACTACTCAGGGCCTTAAGGTCTTCAGAGCCCCCAGGCTCTACGAAGTCCACCACGTTGGCAGCGCCCGTAGGGGCATGAAGCTGTGTTCCCAGGACTTCTGGAAATTCTGGGTCTGAAGGCATCTCTTCAGTGCTGGGACCTTCCAGGGCAGGAAAGGCCTCCTGCTCTGCCCCAGGCTCGAGATCTAGCTCAACCTGGGATGCAACAGAGAACATATTGGGGTGGAGCTGGGGCTCCTTCATGAGGCTTGAGGGACAAGATGGCCTGACCTACTCTCAGGCCAGGCAGAGGGTTTTCAGCTTAGGACAAAGAATGAACACGACTCAAAAGCGGGACAACAGGTCCATTTAGTTCTTCAGTTACCCTGCAGCTGGATAACGGACCCGTGTCCTCACACCCAAGAAAAACGCTAAGAATGAGGAAGGTGGTAGCATCCCATCAGTGGCATGGTTGGGAACTCCAGGCACAGTGTGGAAATACCCGACATAACCAGGCACTGATTCAGCTTCCCGGGGCCCCCACAAATGCCAAGATACTGGGATTCCACTGTCTGATGTCAAGGCAGCTTGGGCCTGTAGGATTCAAACCTAGGTCTGAGCAATTATGAAAGGATATTTTAACTTCAAAGATTCCATGAGACCAGGGGCCAGAGGGCAATTCAATGCCAGTCACTGTTGGAGGTTGAGCGTAATGCCCAGATCCCACAGTGGAAGGAGAGAACTGAGTCCCAAGCTATTCTCTGACCTCCACATACCCACACCTGCACTTACAAGCACTCCCACTTGTAAAGCACACACGTACACTCTGTCTCTGGCTCTCTCGGTGAGAGCAAGGTGTTCGGCTTCTGCCAGCCAACTGGCTTAAGCACCTGTGAGCCCAGTCTCGCTGCATATGCCCAACAGATGGGAATGGAGAAAGCAAACAGATGACCGTGTGGTCATCTGAGCCCTAAGCTGGCTGGCATAGGCTGCTTCCGGGAGCAGTCTCCTGGGAGAAGATCAGTGCAGGCACAGACTTTGGAAGCATCAGGCCCGGACTCCATAATCTGCAGAGCCGTGCCCATGATCTAGACCTGTGCTGCCCACCACAGTAGGCACCAGCCCATTCTGGCTGAGCATCTGACATGAGGCCAGCCCAAACTAAGATCTGTTAGGAAGGTAAGATACCCCCAGACTTTTAAAGGCTTTGTATAAAGCGTAGAATGTGTCAGTAATTTTACTTTGGCTCTGGTAGGTTATGTAAAATAAGATATTAAAATTAAGTTCACTTTTTCTTTCCTTTTGAAACAGGTTGTCATAGAGCCCACACTGGCCTCAAACTTGCTACATGTCTGAGGCTGGCCTTAAAATGTCAAATTTGGCAGGGCATGGTGGTGTACGCCTTTAATCCCAGCACTTGGGAGGCAGAGGTAGTCAGATCTCTGTGAGTTCGAGGGCAGCCTGGTCTACAAAGTCCAGGACAACCAGGGTTACACAGAGAAACTCTGTCTTAAAAAGCCAAAACATCAAATTCTCTTGCCTCTGCTTCTGGGGTACTAAGATTATAGGCATGTGCCATCGCACCCAGCTTTTTTTTTTTTTTTTTTTATTTTTTTATTTCTTAACATGGTTACTAGAAAATTTAATGGGCTAGTGGCAAAATGGATAACACATAACTGGATTCTAGAAAATCTAAGTTACAGATAGGGCCCATCACATTACCATCAACTTTCCTAGACAGTACAATTATCATGGTGAAAATCGTTAATGGTTTCCCAGAAAATCTATGTTAGCGCTTGCTGTCCACTGTGGGACAGCTTTGAACACATGGAGGTTTTAGGAAGTGACTACATCATAAGGCCTCCATACTTGTGCCTCATAAAAGGAGCTAAAGGAAGCTTTCTTGCTGTGAGGACACAGCAAGACTGTGACTGAAGCAGCGAGGGAATTCTCATCAGACAGTGAACCCGATGGAGGTGCCCTGGCAATCTCACAACTCAGAACGATACATTCCCATCGTTTAAAAGCACTTGATCTAAACTATGTTGTTATGGCAGCTTAAGTAGAAAGTTTTATTTTTATCTAGGTTCTCAGCCCTGTCCTGGCTTACGTACAACCTAGGGTCTAGCTAGTGACCTTGTTCTTCTAACTTTGAGAAAGTGAAGGACTTAGGTCCATGGCCCCATCTGGGACACAGGCTGGGCTGCAGCCTGTCAAGCGGCCTTTCATGCCCCTTTTCCTTCTGGAATGGAAGGAGCAGAAGGTACCCAGTGGATATGCACAGTCTGTCCCTTCGCCCAGGCATGAATTAGGCAAGTAGCATGTTGTTCAGGGCATGCCCTTATGTCTGAGGGGGCCCCGTGACGGTCACCTTTGTTTAATTCACAGAAACAGGCTGACTATTTGCCAAACCACACAGGCTGTCCAGGCCTCTGGCAGGGACAGGGGCTAGAAAAGTGCAGAGTTCCTGTTGTGCCCAGTGAGACAATCTGTGCCTTAAAGACCTGGTTGTAGACCTGGAGATCTGGGCTCCGGGTACCATGTACCTCTCTGCTGGCTGCTTACCTCTGGCAGGGAAGAAACAGACTCGAAGCTCATACGTTTCTCCGCACTGGTTGGAGACCGGTTGCTGGGCCTTCTGCTACTTTTAGAGCCTTCAGACTCCCTGTGTCTCTTCCCCTGCAGCAAGCAGAAGTCAGTTAACAACTAAGAACTGGTCCCCTCTGCATTCCATTCCAACATGGACAGTGCCTCCCATAAACTGAGGAGGCACAGGCAATTCCTGAGAGCCAGCCCTGTGCCTGAGCCGTTGCAAAACAACCTGAACCACCAGGCCTGGGGCCGCGGGCATCCTTGCAAAGTGTGCAGTTTTAGGAAAGCCCAACCCACCTCCCCTTCCAGACACAGTGAGCTGACCTTCACACGTCATGGAGGCTGGCTCTCCCCTCCCCCACCCTGTTAGTCCTGCTCAGTGGGTAGTATACCAAGTGGGTACCCAGTCCTGCATGCCAGGGGCTCACCAGGGCGTGACAGTGAGTGAGTTAAGAAGTGCTGACAGCGGGAGGGAAAGGAACAGTGTAGGGCAGGGTAGGAAGGACGTACGGAGGGGCTCTCAGAAGGACGTGCACATGCCAGGCAAACATGCAAGGAAGAGAGGGAGATCAAAGAGACACCTCACCATAGCACCCCGGGAGAAAAGTAAAGCGTTGGCCCGATAGTGCCAGCAGTGGAGGGCGGCCAGCAGGGAGCTGGCAAAGTCAGCTACCTGCTCCGCCACTGCTAGACTCTCTTCCTCCTCTTCCTCCTCCGAGCCTGGGAGCTCTGGCCCAGGTACCTTCCCGCTGCCTTCATGCCCTGCCAGGTCTTCCAGGGAGACTGGGAAGGTCTGCTGCTGTTCTTCCTCCTCCACTATCTCCTCCTCTTCCTCCAGCTCCTCCCTGGCAGCCCCCTCAGCCTCTGGCTGATCGTCCCGTGCAAGGGGTGGCTGCCCAAAGTCCAAGAGGGCTCCAGCACTGCCTGCATGCTGTCCAGAGCACAAGGGCCCCTTGTGACCTGCCTCGTGGGCAGCCCCCCCTCCTTTAAGGTGGCTAGAAATGGCTACATTTAAAATCCACTCCTCCACGCCCATTCCTGGCCTCCTCTGCAGTGAGGTGTTTTGTGGTGGGAAGGCCGAGACCTGGGTGGGAATAAAGTCCCCCAAAGGAGCCTATATGCCCCAAGAGGGGAAAAGGAGAGGACACAGGCCAAGCAGGGTACTACGCGGTGCCGCTGTAAGGAAGAGCATGGGAAAGGGTCCCTAGGGACTGATCTGGGCAGGGCCAACCACAGACTCTCCTTCCAGCCCCTCTTCCCCAGCCTCTGAGCCCCCTGCACTCACCTTCATTCCTGCTGCTCTGGCTGCTGACACCACCACAGGGTCCAAGCACGTGGTGGGAGGAGCAGGGAAGAAGGGACCAATAAATAGGAGAAAGAAAGAACCTCTTTAGAGAGACCAGAGCCCCTGGGGAAGTCTACCAGGGTCTCCTACACTCCTGAACCCTCACCCAGTCCTTTAAAAAGAATGACTGACAACTCAGGGGCCCAGCACACAGTTAGTGCAAGTCTGTGCAAGCCGCTGGGCACCTCCCAAAACAGAAAAAAGGGGAACTGAGTATGGGCAGGAGAGTCAAGACTCTCTGAAGAAGGGAGGGGGGGGGGGCGGGAGAGGCAAAGAACTGAAGTCAAATTCCCTCTAGCTTGTCCTCCACAATCCCTAATCAGGTCCCTACCTGTTTTTACCCTCCCACCTCACCTCAGGATCCCTGGGGAGACCTGCCTGCCCTTCTCACCCACTCACCTTTGTCATTCAATTGCCTGAGCAGGTGCCTGGTCGGCTCTGAAGAACACAAAGGAGCAGTTAGCACAGGCCGAGGAACAGCTGTGCCTGACCTGGGTCCCAAGCTCAATGTCTCACCGGCCCATCACCAGCCCAGAGTCCACTCTAGCTGCGCCCCAGCCACCCTAGGCCTCAGGAAAGCCTTCTCCATAGTGTTACTGAGGCCCCCAGGAGGGGCCTGAGCCACTTCTGCCTCTCTGCAGCACAGTGAACTACTCAGTCCTTGTATTAGCATGCCAGCCAAGGCCTTAGTGACAGGGCCACCTGGAAGAGATGGACCCCACGCTGCCCCCTTCAGACCAACTAGCCACTAACCCATTTCCATCTTAAGCCCCTCTACTTGTGTTTATAGGCAGCATGGCAGTACAAGAGCTATGCCCCACACCAAGCCCCTCGCAGGAAGCAGGCCGGGAAGCAGGGGTCGCACCCGACTTTCTACGGCCCTTAAGGCCTGGCATCTCGAATCCTTGCTGCCTGCCGGGAAGTGTTGCCCTGCCGAACAGGGTATGACCGGGCTCTGGGGACACAAAACACAACTAATTAGGCTGATGGCGTCATCACTTTGTGCCCCAGCCTTTCCAGGGACAGGCGTGAGCAAGAGGATCCTGTCTCAAGAGACCCCTACAGAGCCTCGGCCCAACCCTCCCCTACCTGATGAGATGGTATGACAGCTCAGGGATGCCCTTGATTTTCTATAAAGTTAGAGCTGTTTGCAAAGTCTACAGAGGCTTTCAGCGGACCCTCAAGGGGACACGGTGAGACAAATACAATGGGCTGATTCTCTATGTACATCCACACACGTGAACTCCCAATTGCTTTTTTTTTTTTTAAAGACAAGGTCCCATGTAGCAGGCCTCAAATTTGATACGGAGCCAAGGATACCCTTGAACTTCTGACCCTTGTGTCTCCGCCTCCTAAGTGCTAGGATTCCAAGAGTACACCACCACACTGTTCTATGTGGTGCTGGGGTTGAAGCCAGGGATTCATACACACCAGACGAGCACTCTGCAAACTGACTTCCTTCTCCGCCTCCTAACTGCAATGTTGTTGCTTTGTGCTCATGTATGTATGGGCACGTGTATGTATACTCATGAGGGACCAGAGGTCAATACCAGCTGTCTTCCTCCATAGCTCCTCACCTTATTCTTTGAGGCGGGGTCTCTCACTGATCCTAGAGCCCACCGGGATCCAGACTATCCAGAAAGCCCTGGTGATCCTCCTGCCTCTCTCTCCGTCTCCCCAACACTGGAATCAGAGGCACCCACAAGCTACACCTGACTTTTAATGTGGGTTCTGGGGATCCAGTTCAGGTCCTCATTCTTACGACTACCCTCAGCTGGTTTTAAAATAAGCAAGAGGGCTCTTTAGGATGGCCCGAGTTTGGTCCCCAGAACATACATGGTGGAAGGAAGAAAACGACTTCCCAAAATTGTCCTCGGACCTACACACAAATGCCACAGCACTTGAATACACACATTACACACACAGAGAAACAGGTGTAGTAAAAATGAAGAGATTTTAAAATGTAACAAAGCAAGAAATAGAAACATTCTATTCTTTCTATTGAAACCTTATAAGTAGAACATTTAAGGGTTTAAAAGCTGCCGATAGATCTTTCTCATCCCACAATGACTTGTCCACCTGAGATAGTTGTCTAGGAAGCAAAGAGGCTGAGGCCCAGCCGGGGCACCTAAACTGCAGCATGTGGTACGGATCCTTCCTCTCTGCAACTCCAAGGTCTGCTTTCACACATTAATTCCTGCACCCCCACCAGCTGATCTCTACCACACAGGACATACAGAGAGCATGCCACTACAGAGAACATGCGAGGAGCAAGAGGATGGAAGAAAAGTCATCGTGTTCCAATGCAGGCCATCGCCATGGCACCGCCACGTCTGGACACTCACACGCCATTAGCGGCATTGCAGCACCAGCTTCAGAAAAGGAAAAGTACAACTGTGGTCTTCCAGAAGGCTCCAGAGGATGAAGCCTGTCTCAGAAAACCTAACAAGTCTTTAAAAACCCAACTCTCTTAGTAGTCACGGGCCAAAATCTCAGCCTCATGGAAACTTCAGCCTTGCATATTTGCTCATTTCCTGACCACCTTGGACGATTAAAGTCTTGAGGTAAAGAGACAACAGTTTTACTGAGCTGTAATTCACACACCATACACGCCACCTATGCAAAGTATGCAATTCAATGGCTTTCAGCTTTAAGTACATCCACAGAACTGGTGTGTGTGTGTGTGTGTGTGTGTGTGTGTGTGTTTGAGACAGTTTTTCTGTGTAGCCCTGGCTGTCCTGAAACTCACTCTGTAGGCCAAATTCACAGAGATCTACCTGCCTCTGCCTGTCTCTCATGTGCTGGGGTTAAACGTGTGTGCCACCGCTGCCTGGCTAGGAAGGGCTTTTTGTCTTGTGGTACTGAGGACCTGAACCTTAGGCCTCAGCACATCAGCCAAGTGCTCTGCTACTGAGCACCCCACCTCTTAGAGCTACGGTTCTAATGCTGATGCCCTGACAGACTATGGTATTAATACCACCAGCACTGTCCTAGTTAGCACTGATTGTCAACTTGTCACAGCCCAGAATCGCCTGAAAGTCTCAAATGGGTAACTGTCTTCATCAGGTTGCTGTGTGGGCGTGTCTGTGAGGGATTGTCTTGACTATTAATTGACACAGAGGGGCCCAGCCCACTGTGGAAGGCACCATTCCCTAGGCTATATAAAGAAGCTATCTGAACCTGAGCCTTTGTGAATCAGCCAGCTGTGAAGAGAGTATCTCAATCACAGGGAATATGTGGAATAACCATCAGCTCTGCCTTAAGCTCCTGCCTTGACCTTTTCATTTTAAAATGTGTATAACCAAATTTAGGTTAGCCTAGAAAGAGGCCACCTGGAATGACAGCAAACATGAAAACTCTCCAGAGACCACCTGGAGAAGGTCACCTTCTAGAAGGTCAAAGTTCAGGTCTTGATCACAAGTGTTTAAAGACCCTGCAGGTGGTGGCCAATCAACGCTAGTGCTCTCGTGAATCCAACCCAAACAATATTCTCAATACAAATTCATTTGCCTCAAGCTACTATGGCATGGGTCTCTCTTCCAGACTCCACCACAGCTTAATCCAGATCTGCCTCTGGGCCTCAGACCTACTGGCAAATCAGAGAAATGTACAGGAATAAAAAAAAAAAAAAAAAAAAAAAAGAAGAAGTTAAAATCAATCACAGAAGCATCTGCACCCCACGCCATCAGAGCAGAGCTAAGAATAAAAAAGCAAGCTTTTCTCTTCCTAAACAGATGCTTCATCCTAATAACTCTTAAGAGCACATTAGCAAATCCCGTCATGGGAGAAAACCCAGGAGAGGAAAATGGAATGACCCCAAGATAAATATTTCCTGTCTGGATTCGGTGCCTCTCCGTCTAAGCTATTTTCCTCCCACCCAGCTTCTGCTCTGTCACTCTAGAACTGGACCGAGAAACCATCCACAGTGCTCTGGCTGGGCAGCGGGCAATGAAAGGCGGTTTAGATGACTAAGAAGAGATGCCAAGTCCTGAACAACAAATATCCCCAGGCCCTCAAACAGGTGGAGAGCCCTGGTAAGCTGAAGGCCCAGGAGGTGGCCGGTGGAGGGCCACAGGGGCAAAGGGAACATAGTCCACAGAAGTCCTCCCCGGTTTTCTGGACAGAGGAATGCCCCATCGCGTTGCTGCAGATGATCCGCAGCCTGAGACAGGACCCTAGGAAATAGACTCCTGTCCACGCAGCCCTTCCCTTACCAGACTGCCGGCGTCCTTGCCGCACGTGGGTGGACACCTCGTCCTGGGAGGACCAGGCCTTCTTCAGACGCTCTGGGCTGCAGCGGTACCTGCTGGGGTCTGTAACCAGGAGAGGCAAATAGTCAGGCTCCCTAATGGCCTACCTAGACGCTGCCCATACCAGATGACACAACTGCCACCCACACCAGTTCCAGACGGTCCTGGCTGCCTCAAGTCCCCCATTTTCCATCTTCTTACAACTGGTCACTTCAAGTGCTGAAAGTGCTGCCATTCAGCAGGACTGTGTCACTGGTTACACAACTGATCCCAGCCCTTGACAGAAAGAGCACCCTCCTCCCCTCTCCCCTGCATCCTTCCTGCTCCTAGACAAATGCCCACAACATTGCCTAACAATGTACATAAAATCAGGGACAGAAAAACAGGCAGGAATGGGTGACTTACAATAGGAGTCCATTTCCAAGATGGCTTCCTTGGCCTAGAAGGGAAGAAAACCCACAGCGTAACCACCTGCCTGCTCCTCGACTACCCACCAGAGGACTCCCACAGTGTCATGCCATGGCCTGTATATCTGCAGTACCAACACCTGCTGTCACCGGAGACAGGGAAGAAAGGCCCACCAGATTCCTGGGAGCTGGGTCAGGGGGACACGCTTCCCCTGAAACCCATCTGAGAGCACCCTAGGAGCCAACCTTCTGGGGTATGGTGGCATGGTGGTTCTCCAGGATGAGCCTCTTGATGTGGTGAGTCCAGCTCCGTTTCTCCTCCACCGTCTTGGCCTAGGAGAGCCCAGTGAGAAGGAACAGGGTTTATCCCTTCAGGTCAGAAATGATACTCCTGCCCCAAGCAAGCGCTGAGCTGGGCTGTCTGTGTATACCTCGGAGAGGTACCCCTGACGATCTCACTTTCTAGATGGAGACGCTAGGACTCCGGGGGATCAGGGTGTGAGTGTGCCTGGAAGCCTTGGTCCCCAGCCCCTCACCTGGACGTTGTACTGCTGCTTGCTGTGCTTATAGTGGGTGACGGTGAAGCACAGAGAGTCTCTGGTGCTTTCGATCAGCATCAGCGAGGAGCACTGAGGGCAAGACGGCGAGACAAGTAAGTCAGAGAGGGAGGGGATCCTGACCCTTGAGACCGTGTCTCAGAAGATGGCTCGATGAAGCTAGAAGGAAGAGGAGGAGCCAGGGCGCGCAGGGAAAGAGAGAGGGCGGCAGCAGGAGGGAAGACGGCCCAGTTACCGGGATGTGGCCCTTGTAGACAAAGTGGTCGCCCCGCTTCTTGGTGATGAGCAGAATCTTGTCAAAGAGGAAGAAAGTCCTCTCATTGCGCACACGGTGCACGCGGAAGGTGGCTTCCAGGACCAGCTCCCCGTAGGTGGTCAGGTCCGGCCCCTTCCAGTTAATGAGCAGTGACTGGATCTCCTGAAGCAGAGATCCCCCCGATACCCAGAGTCAGGCTTCACTGTTCCCAGGAAGCTCACACAGACCTCACCCCCCAAAGGCTTCCCCAGGGACCAGCCCCCAAGCCGGGCACAGCGGTAATGCTCCTTCTCCTACACCTCCCAGCCCGGAGCACCTGCAGCCTAACGGCGTGCTCATGCCTCCTCTTCATGTCGTTGATGTACCAGGCCACACAGGTCATGGTGTCAATGGCATCCTCTACCACCTCGAAGCCATCCTCTTCTTCATCAAAATGTTTGGCAATTTCCTGGACAAAGGACGGCGGCGGTGGTGGTGGTGGTGGGGGGTAAGTGACTGAGCAGAACTGACTTCAAGGCTCCGTCCTCCCCCCACCCCACCCCAGCACACATCCTGGGGAGCCCTGAGCTACCTGGAGCAGCAGGTGGTACTTGAGGATGCGTTGGACGGGCTTCAACAGGTAGGAGCCCAGAGGCAGGGAGTGCTGCAGCAGCTCCTGGCGGTCTCGGAAGAACTTGGCTTGCTGCTTGTCCTGCATGCACTCTGTCAGGGCCGCCACTGAGCTGGGAGGGGTAGGCGTGGGCGTGAGCACCTGGGAAAGGCCTGGCGAGGAGGCAGGAGCCCCATACTCATCAACTGGCCCAGCTGCCCTTCTCTACCCAAAAGTACTCACTTGGGGTAGTTGTTGCAATACTGAGTATATATATCGAACTCTTGGCTCTAAGAAAAGACAAAAACAAAAAACAAACAAACAAACAAACAAACAAACAAACAATGATTTCAGGGAGATTCTCATTGGTCTAGAAAACATGCTGGGGTCAAAGGACAGGTTCCTGACTCCGGAGCGCACTGTCCTCCCATCCCAGCGTCTGTTTGTCTAGGGCATCCCATCCCACCCAACAGCCTTGGACAGCGATCCCCAGTACTTAAGTGTCCTCTTGGCTCTCCTCTCCCAGAAACTCGGGACAAGGAGCAAGGACTCTGTCCTTCTTACCCTCTCCACGAAGCAGCTGGCCACAGCCACAGGGTCACTATTGCAGCTGTCCAGGTCTCTGAGAAGCTGGCTGGGTGAGAGGAGAGAGGCCATTAGACCCCAGCATCTGTAGCCACACACACCCTGCCCACAAGACCCAGCCAGCCCTGTCGTCATGCTAGGGGTCCTGGTTTCTCCCGAGCTGACCATGCCCCATGAGGCAACACAGAAAGTATCCAGCACGCCACAAACAAACAAACAAAACCAGAAAACGCTCGGCAAGCAGCAGGGGAACAGGGCACACCAGTACCCACCTTGGGAGAGGACACAGCTCCTCTGTGGGCAGGAGTCAAACACACAAAAGCAGAGATTAAAGGAGGGGAAAAAAAGGAGAAAAGTAGCAAAGAACACTCCCAGATGGGAGGGCGCAGGCAGCGCGGAGAGACGGGGCGAAATGAAGCGCTCTGATCGTGGGTGCGGTCACTTGAGGATACACTGGAGATAGCGCTCCGCATTCCCCCCCTCTCTCCCTGGCCGCCCTTCTCATATCTAAGTCCTTGTGTACCCTACCTCCCCGCTCCACCTACACACTGCCCGGACTCCAGCCTCAAGGGAAGAATCCTCCTGCCTGTCAACACTGCTCTCAACACTGTTTCTCTTGACAGTACCCTCATCTGAGCGTGGTTCTGGAGTAGCGCAATTAACCTTCACAGACTCATCAGGCCTGTTTTGCCTGGCCCGTGTGATGTGCTAACAGAGCAGTTCTCAACCTTCCTAACACTGTAACCCTTTCATACAGTCCCTCGTATTGTGATGACCCCCCCCCCAGCCATAAGATTACTTTTGTTGCTACTTCATAACCGTAATTTCACTACTCTTTCAAATCATAATGTAAATATTTTTGGAGACAGAGGTTTGCCGGAGGGTCGCATCCCAGAGGCTGAGGACCTTTACAACAGGTCAGCCCTTGCAGGGGTCCTTCCTTCCCTAAGATCAGTGGGGAGGGAGAGAAATAAACTACAAGATGTGCAAGATGATACAGGAAAAAAGAGCCACCCACAGGAAGAGCGCAAGTGTGCAAGGCCTAACGGTGGCCCCGGGTGCCAGAACCAGCAAACGTGGGACTTCAGTTTATAAATCTCCAGAAAGGCCAGCCGCTGCCCTTTTCCAGCATGACACCATAATCTGGTGCAAAGGCAGACTTCAATCCCTCATTTCTGCAGACAGGCCTTCTCCCCAGGCCTGCAGGTGTGCCCCCCGGGGCAGAAGAGGCCTGGCACATACCCACCTGTTCAACGCATATATGCTCTCTATGTTCCCAAAGAGGGCGCTGACTTGCTCCGGCTTCAGGAGCCCCGGAGTGTCAATGATCTTCAAGAGGTAGTCCTATACAGAGAGAGAGGTATAAGGGCCCTGCTCCTCTTGGCTCGGCCGCCTAACACCCCTAATCCCAACTTAAACCACACTGCATTTTATGGCTATGACACAATTTCACAGGCAGTGTCCACTGCACGGAGCTGTGGATATTTTATCCAAAAATTCACACCCACTTGGCAACTTGGAATGTAACCTTATTTGGAAACAGGGTCTTTGTGGATGTCATTAGTTACATTGCTCGAGATGACATCATTGAATATTTAAGGAGGCGCTAGGTCTCCTTGCGGGTGAACTTCTAAGAGAAAAGGACACAGACATAAAGCAGGCGATATTAGGAAGCCAGGACAATGCAGCCACCAGAGAAAATTAATCATGATGGTCTGTAGTTCCCGCACTTGGGAGGCAGAGCCATGAGAACTGCCCTGAGTTAAAGGCCAGCCTGGGCTAGACGGCAAAATCCTATCTCCAAAAAAAAAAAAAAAAAAAAATCAAACCAAGAGGCTGGTGAGGTGGCTCAGCAGGTAAAGGCATTTGCCTAGCAATCAGAGTTCAATCCTAGGACCAAGTAAAGATGGAAGGAGAGAGGTGGCTCCACAAAATTGTCTTTCAACCTGCATATGGACACTGTGGCACAAGCGCGCGCACACACACACTTTTCTTTTCTTTTTTCTTTTTTGGTTTTTCATGACAAAGTTTCTCTATATAACCAGCCTGACTGTCCTCAAACTTGCTTTGTAGACCAGGCTGGACTTGCACTTATAGAGATCTGCCTGCTTCTGCCTCCAGAGTGTTGATAGAGGCATTCGCCACCACGCCCAACTTCTTAAATTTATCTACTCGTGTATTTTACGTCTACAATGCTCTGTCTTCATCACATCAGAAGACAGCATCAGATGGTTGTGAGCCACCATGTGGGTGCTGGGAACTGAACTCAAGACTCAGGACCTCAGGAAGAGCAGTCATGTGCTCTTAGCCACTGAGCCATCACTCCAGCCTCATACTTTTTCTTAATCAAAGCAAAATGAAAACAGTCTGAAAGAGAATTCATTTACGGTGTTTTAAGCAAATTACCAGGTTCTGCGGTAATTTGCTGCACGGCCCTAACAGACTCATACCCCCACCTCCCCACCAGGCAGTGGTTCCTCAACGGGAGGCACATGCTACCCTTCCCTGTGTGGCCTACAGCGTGAAACATTTTATTCCTGCCATCCCTGTCCATTTTTCAGGTAAAGAGCCTGAGGCTCCAGACATTGTGGGCATGCCCAAGGCTCCATGGCCACGAAACAGCAGAGTAGGGAACCTGGATATATCTGCCCAGGTTTAATCCCTACAGAGCGCAGAGGTCTTCCCAATCAGGCGAAAGCCCCCTCCTTTGCTATCGCAGTGCCCTCTCTCCCCACCTCTCCCCAAGCACCTGCAGGAAATTCTACTACCCTATCAGTGTGGCTTGGTGTCATAAGGAAACATGAGAGGCCAACAGTCCCTACCAGGCAGGTCCCCAAAGCTTTCTCAAGGCCTCATGGGAAACAGATATACAGAGACAGGTGTGCTTTCCATCCTAGGTGGAGACAGGTTGTACTAGAGAGGTGGGCCACCAGGGACCAGCATCCTTGGCCTCTTGAAGAGATGGCCAGCCCCTCCCAGCCGAAACACTCACCTCCACAATGCTCCGCAAGTCCTGCACATACATGCGCTCTGTTTCCACGATCTCTCGAACCACCCGGCCCAGGTAGCTGAGCTTGTGATGGACGGGACCTGTCCCCGCCCGGCCACTGAAGGGGGAGAGTGGTCCCTTCATGTTCAGCCAGCTGCTGGAGTTGTTGTTGCTGTTGGGAATGTGCCGGCCCCAGGGGGAGCCTGTCCCGTTCTGCGCTGAAGCCCCGGCGCCGGTGGGCTCCTCCATGGCACTGCGGCTGTCACGGGAGGAGCCAGATGAAGAAGTGGTGGACATCAGGCTCGGAGGCCGCTCCTGGCTGCCATCTTGGTGGAGAGCAGTAGAGACGGGCATCCTGGCATTGCTGCCTGGGACTGCCACCTCGGGGAGATTCTGGAGCAAAACATGCAGATGGAGGGGCAAGCTCTGAGTACACACAGAATGAGAAAGCGGAAGGGAGGTTGTCAGGAGCAGGGAGGGGGCAGAATGGGAAGTCACTGTGAGTGGGTGCAAAGTTCACTTTGAGAAGATGGAGACGGTTCCAGGATGGATCGTCATGCGGTAATGACTCGAGTGTACTCAATGTGACTGAACCATACTTACCAACGGTTAAGATAGTAAATCTTCACTTTTGCATTTTTATCAGTTTTAAAAGCAAGGCCAGCGAGATAGCTCAGCAGGTAAAGGTGCTGTCCCTTAAGCCTGACAACCACAACCTGAGCTCCATCCCTGAGACCCACATGGTGAAGAGAGAGAACTGACTCCTGCAAGCTGCCCTCTGACCTCCGCACGTTCACCATGGTATGTGCAGCTACCTCCCAAATAAACAGATGTAACACATAAAAACAGAAACTAAACTAAGGAGGAAGTCCATTCCCTCAGACCACAACCACTGACTGTTAAGGGTGCTCACGTTACATTCCTTCTGGATCCCACTGGCTCAGCCTCTCTATCTTCCCCAGCGGAGATAGGCGATCTACACCAGGAAACGGTAAGTTCTCAGAAACCAGGAGGCCCCAGAAGCGCAGAGAGGCTACCTAAGCCAACACAGTGGTCTAGGGCGCCTTCTGGAGAACCCACAGCCCCGCTCTAAGGGCTGAGAACACAGTTCAGTTGGTGAAGTGCTTATGTAGCATACACAAGGCTGTAAGTCTTAGCACTGTGTAAACCCAGGCATGGGGGTCCATACCCATAATTCCCAGCACTTGGGAAATAGAGGCAAGAGGAACAGAAGTTCAGCCCTGCCATTGGGCAAAGTGCTTGCCTCTCAGGATTTCACCTATAAAAGAGAGCGTACCCCAGAACTATGTCCTCGAGGTGACACAACCTGCCGCCTGTCCTCTGAGGATGGCACACAGCAGAGTGTATGCTCCACAAACCATCAGCACGTGATAATGGTGGTTATCAAACTGTGCATCTCATGAGCCTGCCTGTCTGGGGCCATGCTAGGGGATGCTGCATAGGGACAGGGCAAAAGCTGGCTCTTTTAAAAAACATACACGTATTTATGTTTGTGTGTGTGTCTGTGCATGTGGAAGTCAGAAGACAACTTGTTGGAGCTGGTTCTCTCCTTCTGCCACGTGGGAATGAAATTCAAGTCATCAGGCTTGGCACCTTTACCCACTGAGCCATTTCAGCAGCCCAGGCTGCTATTACACTACTACAACTAAACTAAACACTGAGGGCGTCCATTCCCTCAGACTACAAACACTGACTGGGAAGGATGCTCAAGTTACATTCCTCCTGGATCCCACTGGCTCAGCCTCTCTCTCTTTCCCAGTGGAGATAGGCACTGAAGAACTGAAAAATCTCAGGCCACCAGCTGCTCCGCCTATACCTAAAGCTTTCTCAATGCTGAGAGGGAAAGGATGGCAAAAACAAAACACACACACACACACACACACACACACACACCCACACACACACACACACACACACACACAAAGCCAACCTTACTCCTTGTCCCACTCCCAGGTGCCGGGTGTAGGCAGGCCCCTGACTCAGCCACAGCAGGAAATTCCCCAGGGCTGAACCATTGCTGGGAGTCTCCTCACAGCACAGAGCAGCAGAGCAGGCGGAAGCTGCACCCAGGTGAGGCAAACACAGCCACAGGTGGACTTTATTCCCTGAGCAGACGTACTGCTCACAGCCCACTCCAGAGATGGAACAGCTCATGCTGACCCATGGGACCAAAGCTGCCAGAATGCTCCCTTGGTTGTTATTTCCTCAGAGGAGAAAGAGGAAGAGGAACAGGAGGGGGTGGGGACAGGAGGAGGTGAGAGAGGGGTCCCACCGGGATACAAAGTGAATAAATTGTAAAATAATAATAATGTAAATGATAAATAGGTAGATAGAGATAGACAGACAGACAGACAGATAGATAGATAGATAGATAGATAGATAGATAGATAGATAGATAGA